TAATATACACTCTCTGTGGTTGTATAAGTCTGTCTGTATATAGTTTGACTAAATGTAATTAAAAATATAAATGTAATGCGTTACTTTAAATGTCCTCTGTAACCTTGCTGTTTGTTCATTTCATTTATAAGCGTGGCACCGTGCTGTCGCCTGCTTCCTCTGCAGTAAACTTTGCTCTCACATGTCGTTCCTGTCGTGTGGTTCTGTGGGTTTGAGAAAAAGCGCTGATGGAAAATTTGTCTCCAACTGATTCACACCTCTACTCAGCAGATAACAATGAACAGACAAACAGCTTAACCTCGATCACAGACTAAAAACATCACGAACATCATTCATGGCTAAAAAGAACAAAGTGTGTTTGTTTGAAGAGTTTAATTCAAGGAAATCGAATCTGTAAGAATTTTTTTTCTGGTTAGCTTGGTGTTAGCTCTTTTTGTAGATTTTTACACAGAGTTGAATTCACAATGGCGATTTGTTTTCTGTCCTTGATGCAGTTTACACTTTGCCAACACACACTCAGCCTCTCAGTATTATCTCCACTCATTAAAAGTTGTAGACCTCACCACCATTTTCCTTCTCCCCGCAAACAAACTCACGTCGGCTGATTGTAGCAGGATATTGTATATTAAATGAATATATAAGGTAACCTAAGATTAGCATTTTGAGAATGAGATGAAATATATGAAGTTAATTGTATTTACCTCTTAACTTACTCTCAGCAATCCCGAAATGCAGGATGATGTAACAAAATACAAGTAACTTAAAGGTTTTTTTCATAGTTGTCTGCGTATTGATACCGAAACATCCGATCGCCGTTGTGTTGCCCTTAAGGCGTTTCTCTGAATAAATAGGTTCATAAATTTGAAATAAATAATTCTAAAAAGATTTGCCATTAAAAAAATTAATGTGTTGTTAAAATGAATAATTCATGCTTTACATACGTTTTAGTTAAAAGGAAAATATCGCTAAAATGTATTTCCCGTTCTGGCGGGGCACTTCCGGTTCCGGTCGAGCACTTCCGGTTTGGGTCAAGCGCTCGGTTTTGCTGAGAAACAGGCTCATGCTAAAGGCAGTATGGAGATGTAATCTAATGCCATCTACTCCGAATTATCAGGCCGGAACGCCGTAAGTTACTTTATATGACAGTTTGTACAGATAACTTTGGATATTAATGTGTATTTGCTAACATGAATGTTTTAGTGAGAGTAATGCACTTTATTGATGTAAACATGCTTCTGCCTGTTGAGATGGAGTTTATTTAATGTCATTTCAGTTTTCACCACATGTTCATGGAGACAATTAAACAAGCTGCAACTAAACTCCAGGGTCTTCATTTGTGGTTTAACTCGGTGTCACCAACATCCTCGTTGAAAACACTACAGCCGTGTTTCACCTTATGGATCAGGACATTAGAAGATCGTTGTGTTTCCTCAATGATTTGAAGTAAATCTGTCTTTCATTACCAAGAAAGAAAACAGAAGCAAGTAAAACTACCAAAAAAGATCAAGTCTAAGCAATATTTGATATGGGAACTATTTCTCCTTCCGCTTATGTGCGTGTCCCAGGGATCAACTGGGGCTTTCATTTGAAATATTAAAATAAAATTCATAAATAATAACTAACTAAATAAATAAAATAATAAATAAA